ACAGTCCAGGTCAGCCTGGGGAATAAAGGCGAGGCTCTGTTTGAAAAATAATGAAAGTCAAAAGTGCTGGACATGACTCAAGTGGTAGGGTCCCTGTCTAGCAAGTGTGAAGTCCTTAGTTCAAACCACAGGGTGGGGGTCGGGAGGACCAATTATTTCAAATCAGAGCCATTTGTTAAGTTGAATCCACTTTGGTCACTCTTAACAGGTAGGTGACCCCCATATTCCATCAGAACACAGAAATCTGGTTTGCTTTGTCACTGGGTACTGAGGATAGAAGGCACTGTGAAGACTGGTGAAGTCAGTGGTCAAGTGAATGGATCCCAGCAGCCTCCTACTTATGGGTGAAGATCCAGTTCACTGCTCCTTTTCCTAAGTCTTTGTCAGATTCACACAGCATGCTGAAGTCTCATCTTCATCTCTCACTTCTCTCCAGGAATCAGACAAATACAAATAAAGGCTCTGGCAGCTGGTGCACATCAGCTGAGAGCAGGTCGTCCTGTTAGGAAAATATTTCTTACGGGATGATATATGAAGCTCATGCAGGCAGTGACTTCCACAGCAGAGCTTCAGGACAGATCCAGAGCCTTTTTCCTATTTAGGATGTGGCCCAGATCCTGGAGCTGTTTCCTTTTGGTATGTGTGAGGCAGTAATTGGCCTCCCCGTGACCTGAGATCTGACTGCCCTGACTTAGTGATGAATTGGCCTTGGAGAGTATTACAAATCTTTCATCTCACTTTTAGCTAGCTGGAAAGTCCCCGTGAAGTTGCCGTTGAACTGAGCATGTGATGTGCCAGGGCCAAGTAGGTCTTAGCCAGGTAGCCTGACCTGGCCTGGTTATGCTTTAACTTTCCAAACCAACTCCTGCCAGTGATTTTTGGGTTTTTTTGAGTCAGGGTTTCACTATGTTGTCCGAGCTACCCTCAAACACCTATATCCAATCAAACCTCCTGCCTCAGCCTCTAGTACCTGGTACTAGAGGCATGTGCCATCACACCCAGCAACTGCTGGTGATTTTTATACCTGGTCTCCTGCAATTTCTTTCTCCAGGCTCTTCCAGGAAGGGTGTTCTGTGCTTGTAGCAGTGTTATGGCCACTGCCCAGGCCTCTCACACTTTCACCATTTGGCTAATATAACAGATAGCTTCTTGCTCAGGACAAAGAATCAAGGATGCTGATCTTGTTGATTTATTTGTTTCTGCATTTCCTTTGGCACTTTGAGGTTATGGGCTGGGAACGTGAAGCATATTTTGGCAGTTGGTGAGTTTTGAGTACTTGCCAAGTACCCTCTTAGTGCAACCTTCCCTTTGGAAAAACAACATCTATGTGGACCCAGCTCTCAGGAGATACCCTATCCAGGCATTTCCTTGTGGCTGAAAGCTTGGGTGAGCTCAGGATATAGGGCTGGAGGACAGCCGTGACTCTACTCCCTCCACTTTAATTTTTCTGTTTGTGTGTTTTTGAGACAGGCACACTCAGCCCAGGCTGGTCTCAAATTCATAGTCTCTCTGCTTAGCCTCCTAAGTGCTGGGATTGCTGGCATGTACCACCTCGCCTGACCTTCCCCCTTAATTTTTACGAAGTCTCCAACAAGATACTTTTTAATGTTTGCATGGCCCAGGGCATCCTTTCTCTTGAGACCTGGTGCATGAATGGTCTGAATAGTTCTGAGTGATTCTGATTTGTTTTTTCTTGTTTCTAGCCAAGTCCAGAATTAAATCAACATTTCCCCTTCTCAGAGGTTAGACTGCCAAGTTTTGATGCTTGATGATCCATTAGTCTACAGAGCTTGTAGAACCTCCAGAGAAACAACACTGGCAGGAGGGCAGAATGTCCATCATTCTGGACGCCAGATTCTCTGTTCTAAGACACTCTTGCAAAGTTCTGCATCCTTCATGTCAAAAATTATAATGGGGAGATTTTGAAGAAACCTCCCAAATAGGAAAAAAGATGATGACTCTTTATGGAAATGCACCTTCCTTTTCTTCTCTTTGTGTCAGAAGTCTGGGGATGGCATGATAGTCTCTTGAATTATTCTTTCCTCCTTAGAGTCAACTCTTAGTTCCACTGCTCACAAGCTGTGTGGCCTCAGGCATCTTACTTCCTATCTCTGAAATTCAGTTACCTCATTTGCAAAATGGTAACACCTGCCTCACAGAATATTTTTTAAGCTAGCTAACTCCGTGTTCCTCTAGGATACCTTCCTTGAATACTCTGGGGAGCTACATTGCACTGTTAGGTACACTCATGCACCATATGCATGCTTCTGTCACAGTATTTGATACCTTATGCTGAAATGCAGCCTATGAGACTGTCTGAAAGAGGAAAGTGTTGTCATCTGCTGTGTTTTCCAAGGTTTTAGCAGGATTCCTGGCAAAATGTGTACATCACCCACTAACACCAGACTCTCCTGCCCTAGGGTACTACAGGAGTGCTTGCTCATTCTGCCTTCAATTTGCTTAGATCTGAATTGATGAGTGTTTGTTGTTTGTTTTCCATGAAGTGGTAGTTCTTCTAGTTTTCTCTTCATCTGTTCCTGTGTAAGAGCAGTTGTCAGAAGTATACAATTGGAAGGAAAGAATCCATGTTGTGTCAAGGAACCCTCTGCTTTCTCATCTTTGTTACATAGAGACTGTTGATGACAAAAGAAAGGACCAATGTGGACATGAGGAACCAACTTAGAGTAAGCTGTGCCCTTCCAGGGCCTGGTGGGCAGCTTTGGAGATTGTTGCCGCATAATCCACCTGCCTTGTTCTTGACATTAACTACTAGAGTCCATATTCTTCTCATCTTCCAGATGCCCTCATCCAGCATCTTCGCTTACACTTTCAAAGCCCTGAGCTCAGTATTGAAGAATGGAGCAGGAGTGTTTAAAATGATTCTACCAAAGGTGATGCTACAAGGACAAGCAGGCACAGACCTAGAGCACAGATGAGCCCAAGGGTGTGTTCAGACCCCATTATCACACACACCTAGACTTGTAGATAAACATGTCACTGGATCTTGCTTCTCAGTAAAGATTCTCTAGTAAACTTGAAAGATGCTGTTGATAGAAGATACCAGTAATTCAGGCAGATGCACTAAGATTTAATCTTGTGTCTATCTAAATTCTTAGAAAAGCTCTTTCTCCTGCTATTGCAAAGAGGCTCAAAGTCCTGTACACAACTGAAGTGCCAGGTCTTCAGAGCATTTTCTGTACAACTTGTCAGGACACAAAAGTTAGTAGATATTCCCACTCCTTTTCTTTAGTCAGACCACCTGCTACCCAAAACTGGGTTGGTATTGACACTGCATGCCAAAACCCAAAACATAAGCACTGTGAGTGCTTAGAGTGTCACAGAAACCAGGGACCTGCCCTGGCCAGAACACAAGGCCATTCAAGACCCGCTTGCACCTGCACTCCTGCCCCTTCTCTGCCACTTCTTCTACCCCTTTTTGAAGATCTAGTGAGACATAAATGCAAGCTTATGTGATATGTCTTAGTGTTACAGCCTCCTCCCACCTCTCTTTGTCAGAGGACTATGTTTGCAGTCCAAAGCAAGCCGATACCACATGCCTATGCAGGAATAGGTATAGGTTGGTGGCAGAAATGTTACTGGACATCAATGTATTGCTTAGCTCATCTAGCATACCACCTGTATGCTAGGCCTAAATACCAGAGGAAGATAACTGGGGGCAGGGGCGCAGAGTTGGCAACCCCCATGTATATATATGTTTATAATTTCATTCAACATTCATTCTAATTTTGGGAGGTGGCCATTGTCCTCATATGTAGACCAGGATGTGAGCTAAGTAATTGTGTAGTTTTTCTCAGATCCTTCTGCCAGTCATTGGTGTAGTTGGGGTCTAGCCTGCATTTGTCTGTCTTGTCTGTATCTGTGTATCACATCATGTTGCAGTGGACACCGCAGAATAAGTGGTTGGGGAGCTCCAGCCAAAACTGGGACCACAAGAGATACTGGAGAGGAATAATGATGATAAGAAAGGAGACAGGGAGCCTGTTCTAGATTAAGAGAGACTAAAGAAACATAGAAGTTTCAGATCTAATATTTAAGTTTTTAAAAATCCATGAGTCCATAATAGAACTGAAAAATATACAAAAAAAATTGATAGTGTAGCAGGAATGACAGATTTCTAAATATTGCTTTTTGAGGACCTCTGTATGCCAACTAACAGGCAAAGATCATCAACAGATGCTAAACTGCTAGACAGAAGAATGCTGGGGGCAGGACATTGGAAGGTTTCTGAGTGTTACACTACACAAGAGTGATTATTTATAGAGGGAAAATCTTATCTTTATGCCAGGGCAAGGATGGGCACCACCTGCATCAAGCCATCAAGCCTGGCTCAGTCCTCTCTTGAACAGCCATACAGTGAGAGCACAGCATCACCCCTGTGGTGTGCTAGTTCTACAAAAACTGTTTATCATGGATCTGACCATAGGACACAGGCAGGTCCAGTATGAGGGCTCTCCAACCAGGAGAGCTGACACCTCAGGAGACTCAACCAGACACTGTGCAGGGAACTTGCCTGGCTCTCAGGCCAACAGAATGAGGCTGTTAAAAGAACTTGCTCTCTCCACCAGGGCAGCTGTAGAGCCATTTTGCTCCTGGCAGTGAGAAGAGCTACCTGCAGGTCTCACCCATGTTCCCTTCAACTCCACCCCATCTCTGTTGCTGGTTAGGTGGTGTCTGTTCTCAGCCTGAGCATGGTTCAGGGGTGATACAGGGAGCAGATATGAACACATGCCTTTTGTTTTTCCTACTTAGGAAAGTTCTTTCCAGCATCCTTTCCCAGCCTCCATCTTTTTTTTTTTTCTTTTTTTTTACCTTCAATGGCCCCATGTTCTGACTGTCTTTTCATAGAAAAGAGGAGTGGTGCCTCACCTCAGGATGCCTAGACATTTCCTCCTTCCTTTCTATACCTACTCCAAAAATGTGACTGAAGTTCAGTTTCCATCCTGTATCCTCAGAACTTTATCTCTTTGTTTGTCCCGCAGGTTCCAGCATGAATGGTGTGGAGGAGCCCAGCATTGCCAAAAGGCTGAGAGGCACTCCCGAGAGAATTGAGCTGGAGAACTACCACCGGTCTGTGAAACGGGCAGAGGAACTGGAGGAGGTACCCGAGGAGACACAGGCCGAGCACAACCTTAGCAGCGTGCTGGACAAGGGCACTGAAGAAGACGTGGCCAGCAGGTCAGCCTGTGCCCCTGGTTTGCCCAGCCACTGGGTTCCCAGGGCAGTGGCGCCACCAGAGCCTCCAAGCTACCACCTTGGAGGGGGGCAGCCTGGGAGCTTGTTGAACATGAAATCCAAGCCAAACTGCCTGGGTGAGAATCTTGCCTCTTCTACTTTCCACCTGTGGAACCTTAGGCAAGTTCGGTAACTGCTTTGCCTCAGTTTCCTCATCTGTGAAATGAGGTTAATACTGGCACCTTCCTCGCATAGTTGGTGTGAGGGATAAAGGGCAGATAGGAATACAGCATTTAAAACAGTTCTTGGCACCTGTGAGTGCTCACAGGTTACTCTGAATGGTGCCATGTACTTCAGCTGTCCTCACAAGATTCCTACGAAGTAGACATATGTTTTGTCACTTCACAGGGGAGGAAAATGATGATTGCTAGGACTAGAGCTGATATTCCAACTCAGGTTTCCTGGATCCAAGTCCAGGATACTTCCTGTTTTTCCTGCTGCCCTGTTCCATCCCTCCCCGCCCCAGTCAAAGTCGCTGTCAGCAGACACTGTCATCATTAATGCATTGCTCTGTGAATCTACATGCAGTGCACTCAGTCTTCACTAGGTGGGACAGGGCCAGACTTACTGAGCACTCCCACATCCATAACATTTGTTAATCTCTAAATAGGTAACAGAAAATATAAGCCTCAAGTTGTTGTTTACAAATCCATAGGAAAAAAAGAGACTTCCACACAGGGAGAAAAGCAAACCTAAAGCAGCAGTCCACCGAGGAGCAGAAGGTTTTGTGGAAGGAGCACCAGGGATGTATGAGAGGGCAACTCAGCCACCAACTCATGTGTAACCTTGGAGACACCACCTCACCTTTCCAGTGTTCTCTTTGTGTCTCCTGTGTATAAAGAGTGGGGAAGAAACCTTGTGTGCCAGAGGCCACAAACACATGGGATTATGTTCAGCAATCGTAGGGCTTAATTCTGTTTAACTGAGTAATACTTTGGGGGGCCATGCACACTCCAATGCCGTGGGAGACCCTGCATCTGCTATGCTGTGTCCCCGGGCTTTTCATGTGAGTAGAGAAGGGTTAGTGCCCAAAGAGAGCAGAATATTTAAAAAAAAAAAAAAAAAAGAGAGAGAGCAAAATCAGGATGATTGAGACCTTCCTGAAGGGCTCCCAGGTCAGAGCACTGGCTTTGGCCCCAGACACGCAGAGGCCTTTGGCTGACATTTGAAAGCATCTTACTCACACACTGCAGATTTTTATGTTGCCATGTGTGGGGATAAAGAAAGCACTTTTTTTGTTGTTGTTTTTGAGGCCCAAGAGTTTCTTAGAGTGTTTGCTGTATACAACTGCTTTCATCTGCATTCTACTTCCCTGTCCTTGGGCAGACACACTCTGGATGAAGTACTCCTTAGGCTAGCTCTATAGACAACTCTTCCATCCAGTCCAGTGCCAGCTCCCCCCCCTTGGTACCTGCAGTTCTGGAGCCATCACCAATTGCATGTCATCGTCACATAAAGGCATCATGTTCAGATTGCCCATCGGGACATAACCCACTCTTCTTTGCCTAGAGGAGGGAGAGCTGCATGCTCTCAGACTAGTCCTGCAGAGGGAGAAGGATATCTCATATGCTCAAGCCTATATAAACCCTTGAGCAGAGCAGGTGGCTTGACCTTGGGGTAAGTATGGATCAAATATGAAATCAGTCTACATTTATGCAGTGCAACAAATGATGCAAGGGCTGGGGAATGTGGCTTAGTGGTAGAGCTTTTGCCTAGTATGCACAAAGCCCTGAGTTGCATCCCCAGTACCCCCCCCTCCCAAAAAATTAAAAGGATACCTTTTAGAAAAAGGCAAAAAAAATAATCATAGCAAAAATGCTTTGCAGAATGAAAAGCAGTTTTTCAAAAGTGAGGAGCCCAGGATCAGTCATTTTAGTAGACCCCCGTAATCCCAGCTACTTGGAAGATGGAGATTGGGAGCCTCATGATTCCAAGCTAACCTGGGCAAAAAATTCATGCGATCCCATCTCAGCTGGGTGTGGTGGCACCTGTGATCCTGATTATGCAGAAGGCATAAGTAGGTAGATTGCAGTCCAAGGCCAGGCCCTGGCAAAAAGGTCTGGAGGTGTGGCTTGAGTGATAAAGTGTGTGCATAGCAAGCACATACACACAAAGTTCAAACCCCAGTATTGCAAAAAATAATAATAAAAGTGAGAGACCCAGAGGAAGGAGCTATAGGTTTAACCCTTCTTCCTCAGGAAAATATTAAGACGTAAGAAATGAGCCAGGCATTATTTCCATCTCCTTACAGCACAAGCACAGAGTCAGGTACATTTTCAGTCCTCAGCCCTGTCAATAAGATGTTAGCTCTAAAGAAGAGACATGACATGGTTTTAAGGGGTTGCCCAGTCCAGCACAGGAACTCACTCTTCATAGTGCAGAGAATTCAGCTCAGGAGTCTGCTGGGATGGGGGTGGGGGTGGGGGGCAGTGAATCATGACGGTGAAGAATTTTGCATTTGGAGTCAAACAGACCTGGCCTTGAAGCCCATCTCTATCACCCACTGGCTGTAAGTAAGTTACTTAACCTCTCTGCCTCAGTTTTCTCATCTACAGAGAACCCTGCATTTCATAGGTTTATTATGAGGATTAAGTCAAATAAAGCAATGCCTGGCACAAAGTGGTCACTAGGCCAGCATCAGCAGTTACTGTCATGGAGGTCCATGCACAGTGCTGGCACCCCTTTTTAGCTGGGGCCTGTCCAGGGATTCTGGTGTTAAGTTTCCTTCAACACGTGGGTTAAGTGCCAGAATCTGTTTTGGCTCAAACTCATCTTGTCCATGGACAGACTCTATGCATCAGACCCACACAGAGGGCTTGCTGTAATACAGGTGACTGGGCCAAGATGCTGATTGAACCACTCTGTGATAAAGTCTGAGCATTTTCATTTACCAGCAGTTCCCAGGTGGTGCTATCATCAGAAGGACACACTTTGTGAATTGACGCTCTGAGGTTTCCAAATCTCCCTGATGATAAACACCATCAGGACACTTAGTGAAAAAGCAGTTCCTAGGCCCTTCCCTGGGAAGTGGGATGGAGGCAGGGGGGCCTGTCTAACAGACAGCCTAGAAGATTTCTCTAATCAGATTCGTGGTTTAGTTTACACAAGCGCCTGTAAATCCTAAACCTTGTCACAAATTTGAGCCAGGCCTCAGTAGCTACCTGACCCTCCTTTTAGGAGAAGAGCCTGGAGGTAGCACTTCCTGTTTTCTCTGGCAAGATCAGGTGACCAAAGGCCAGAGAAAACCAGTTCTATGGTTTTAGTGTTGCTTTCTCCTCTTTGCCTGTCAGAAGAATGTGCCTCAGGCAGGAAGGCAGGGCCCAGCTACTGAGATCTTTAGTGTTTATAGACCATTGGCTCTAAAGAACAGTCCATGAGTTTTGGAGCAGACATGTGGCTTTTGCACAGGGGGCCGCTGAGGTTTCAGAGGATCCCCAAAAATCAGTGGTACCATCAGAATAACCACAAGGAAAAACTACTCCCTTAAGGCAGACCATGAATAAATGAGATTTCCTGCCTGTCCCTCGCCTGCCTCACATTTTCTACAATAGGCATCTTCTTTAGCCTCCTTGCTTGGCAGTGGAGTGTTCACTGGTTGTCAGGGTGGGTGGGACCTAGGGCTGTGACCAAGCAGACAGCAGATTGCAGAGTCTCTGGTTAGAAAAGGCTTAACTTACTGGGCACTGGTAGCTCACACCTATAATCCTAGCTACTTAGGAGACAGAGATCAGGAGGACATGGTTTGAAGCCAGCCCGGGCAAATAGTTTGTGAGCCCCTATCTCGAAAAACCCATCACAGAAAAGGGCTGGTGGAGTGGCTCAAGGTGTAGATACTGAGTTCAAACCCCAGTTTAAAAAGAAAAAAAAAAAGTTTTTTGGTTTTTTTTTTTTTTTTTAAAAAGAGCTGGCTGAGTGGCTCAAGTGGTAGAGCACCTGCCTAGCAAGCTGAGGCCCTGAGTTCAAACCACAGTACCACCAAAAAAAATAAATAAATAAAGACTTAAGAGGCTTAAGAGGGAAAGCTCAAGTGGGGAGAGCCACCTTTATGCACAGTGGGGCCTGCCTCAGATCCTGTCCCACCTTCTCAGGGCAGAGTCCGACCACCAAGAGCTGTATCACAAACCATTTGCCAGACTTGTTGCCCTTACAGCTGCCGGTATCCATGGCAACCTGACTCCTCACCACACCAGTGATCTGACCTCCTGAGGTTGTAATTCCTCATTTGTAAAAGTGGGAAAACACAGGTTGAATATCCCTTTATCTGAGAACAGAAGTTTTTCAGATTTCAGAGCTTTTTAGAGTTTGGAATATTTGCATAGACTTTGCCAGTTGGGCATTCCTAATTCAAAAATCCAAAATCCAAAATGCTCCAAAAACCAAAACTTCATATCAGTGCTCAAAAAGTTTTGGATTTCAGTTCTCTGAGCTGGGAATGTGCGGTTTACAATAGTAGCTATGCCCTAGTGTGGTGTGGCTGAGAGAGTGAGTCCAAAGAAAGTGCCTTGAAGAAAATGAAAATTAACCAAAAACAAAAAAGACAAAAAGAACATTAACAAAGGGAGTGCCAGTACTGCATGACACACCCTCAAGGGTCCACTGACCTTCACTATTACCACTTGGACCTTTTCCTCCTGACTTAGCTCAGTAGCTTGGAAAAAAAAACCACACACACACACACACACTTGCTTTTAGAAGGAGATACATGTGAAGGGCAGGTGGTGCCAATGGTTCCATTCCAGGCTTTCGACTTCCCAGGACTTTGGGGCTATCTTCGGGGTTTTGCAGTTCCCTCACATAAACAAGATTTGTATAAATCCAGGGTCTCGAGGCTCATTTTAGATCCCCTGACTGCCTCCAGCACCTGAGCCTGTGTGCTGAGCCTGTTAAGACTAGAAGAAGGGTACAGAGAAAGGAAGAATCTGTGGTGGAAGTGGACCCCCCCAGACTACAGCTTCGAAATGTTTTTAAGTGGGGAGGATCTTATAGCAGAAAAGACACAATAAGACAATCAGCTTGTCTTTGCTGGAAAGAGAGTGTCCTCTCAGGATACAGCCTCCTAGGAGAGATGGGGCCAGAATATTTGTTATTGCTTATAGCAATATAATGTCCTGTTTGTTGGATTGGGTCTACCTCCCCCTAGACCACTTATCACAAGGTCTAGCACAGCCAAGACAAGCCAAATGCACAAGAAACCACGCTGTGAAAGCCAGGGCAGGTGTCCCCTGGTATCAGAGATGTCAGAGATGATACCCCGAGAACCTTGGCAAACCCTCCACTGGAGGCACTGACCCTTTCACAGTTAGAAGAAATCCTCTCCTACAATTTATATCCAGCCACCCATTTCGAAGCCCCTTTCCTACATCTTCCCTCAGGTTTCTTACTGAGGTTCTGACAGCAGCACAGGAAACAAAACTGAGGAGCACTAGGATGAAATTCTAAAAGGAATAATCCTCCCTCTAGAGAGGGAGGCTGCTTTGCCTGTCTCAGGTCACCAGGAACAAGTAGCAAAGTCTCTGGGAAGAAGGCTGAGTTTGTATCTTACAGAGAGGCAAGGGTTGACCTTTCCTTAATCATTTTCATGCTCTCACAGTCCTTGAACTGCCATAAAACTAGCTGGTGTGGCACTAATAGTCATCAGTGGGACCTCATTGTCCTCATCACAGGAGACATATTCATTGCCCACATTATGCACAGTGCAGCCGTCGTGATGTGGCACAAGCGAGGTCACACTGCACTGAGGCCCCCTCTCCTAGGAGACTGTACTGCATTTCCTTCCAGCACCCTGACTGCTGGGGCAGCCTTGTTGCACTTGGCCTTGAAGGAAAAGATTTAAGATGAACGCAGAAGCTTCCTTGTCCTTATTTCATGTTTGAAGAATGTTAAATGACATGTACCAATATATTAATTATTAAGAAAGCAAACTAATGAAAACATCCAGGCGAATCAAAAAAATACCAGAAAAAACAATACTGAAAAATGACAAAACCCAGATACCAAGCTTTCAGTGGTCTAAATTCTTGTTTATGCACTGGAAGCCATAATCCCTCTTTTCTCCTACCTGCACTCTACTTAACTTGCAGTGTGTTTGCACCTTGTCTTTCTCTGAGAATAAGGATCTTTTCTAGGTTACCTTTGCCTTTCCTACAGTGTTGGTGAGTGCACTATAAGTAAAAGACACCCAGCACATTTTTGTTGGGTGACTGAGTAAGTAAGATGAGATGCTTGCAGAAAGGAGCTTAGCTGTAGTGGGTGCTCAGAATGCTCATTGTGCACATCTATAATCCCAGCATTTGGGAAGTTGAAGCAGGAGGATTGAGAGCTACAGGCCAGCCTGGGCTATATAGTGAGACCCTATCTTGAAAAAAAAGTGTTTTAATGAATGAATGAGTGAATGAATGAATGTGTAGGTGAGTAAACAAGACTAATACCTTGAGTCCAGAGCACAACACAGGTATAACGAAAGTCTGATCCCTAACCTTCACAGCATACCCACAAGTCAGGTATCACATGACTTCCTGACTGATGAGGAAGCACGGCTGAGCATAATCAGCACCCAAGGATCACACAACCAGTAATAGCAGAACCAGTGTGGCACTGTGAGGAGTTAGCCAACAGAGGAGAGCATATGTGGCCCAAAGAACAGACTGCCTTCACTTGTGACACCAATTGCAAATTCAGGAGTTTCCCGGAACCACTCTCAGACTCAGCAGTTTGCTAGAAGAATTCCCAGGACTCCCTGAAAGCTTTTACACTCATGGCTGTGGTTCACTACAGGGGAAGGAGGCAGACTTAAAAAATCAGCAAATCAGCCAAGGAAAGATGTGCATATGGTAGAGTCCTGGAAAATACCAGAATCAGAGCCTCCATTGTCTTGTCCCCATGGAATCAAGACAGCGTTGCTTTCTTGGTATTGATGTACAACAATACACACCAGTTATCACTCGCCCAGGCTTGGGAGTTTGAGAGTTTTTGTTGGGACTCCATTCCATAGGCAGTGACCAGTTGATTGATAGTCACGTGGTTGATCTCATCTCCAGATCAGCCAATACCATGTGACCCAAAGCCTAAATCACATCATTGGTCATTCTGGTATAGTCACCCCCCATAGTAAGACTATAGGGAACAGGTAGCCCTCAACCCTAGATCCACTTACTATTCTGTCCACCCACAGCCCCAAGCAGACAAAGTCGGTGCCCTCAGGCTAGGAATTCCAAGGGGCTAGTGTTTTCCTTTCTTGAGTGAGAACAAGGGCAGATGTCTCTTTGGGAAGATTAAATTCTTCCCTACACAGAACCAGTAGCTCTAGTAGTGAGTATCAGTGTCATTGTCCCAGGATGCTCACACACACAAATCGGCTGTGAGGAGCCTGACCTGGATGGAAAGGACCCCACCTTCACAAGAAGTCAGGAGGCCTGATGCCTCTGGGGCTTGGGGCTCTATGGCCCAGAATTTGGTCCAGTACTTTATTCAGAAAGTCAAATTTCCTCCAGCCAGCTCAAGTACACACTTCTCACTGATACAAAGTCTCTCCCAAAAAAGATGCTTCTAGAATAATCATACCGTGCAAGAAGTCTTGGAAATTACTCCATCAGAGCTATAGCACTGTAGTGAATGAAGTTTTATTCATGACCTGCTTGTCACACTGCAGGACTGGGAAGGGGTGTCCTAGAGAGTAGAAGTTGGATTTTTGGCTTGCATAAGTTCTCAAATTTACCACTGCTTCTGTTCCAAGCTGAGCTGGCCTTTTACTGTGAAGAGAACCAGTGTAAAGAATGTAACTCATTGTCAGGCGTCGTTACTTCAAAGATTGTGACCTTTCCTGTGGTCTTGTCTATACCTATGTATTGGGCAGAGCCTTTGCTATGCTTCACCTATGCTGTGCACATTGTGTATGGGGAGGCGGGGGAGGGTGGGAGTCTCAAGGAGCACCAGAAAATTGGACCTGCTGCCTCCTCCTCTAGCCCCCTCTCCATACATGCCGCTGATTGTTCTTTCAGTTCAGCCTTCTGGAGCTCCTTCTCTGCCCCCACACATTCATGGTTCTCATGAGAGGCTTCTAACTGACTTCTGTAAAATAGAATTGAGTTCCTCCAACCAAACACTGGGTCAGGGGAAAGAGAACTTTCTATGAATCCTCAGTGCGCAGGGTCATGAGTTTATAGTAGAGTCTACCACCTCTGCTGTGCTCTCAAGGCCCTCTGTGAACCATCACTCAGTGGTTGTGGTGTCTGCTGGCCACCACTCCCACAGGCTGGGCTGCTCACTTGTGTGGGTCAGCGTAGGAGTTCACTTTCACGTGCATGTCATCCTGCCCCCATCATCACCCTCTTTCCATTTCCATTCCTTCTCATCCTTTACTGTTGTCCTCTTCCCTTCCGGGAGGTGCTCTTCCCAGCAGGTGCTTTACTGGGATACACTGCCTGTGACTGTGGCTCCCATCCTTCCCTTTTCAGTGTTGTCCCCGCAACTCAGTTGTGTGGTTGCTTCCTCACAGCAGTTCTGAGTCAGAAATGGATGAGGAAGAAGAGGAGGAAGACCAGCTGCCTACCTCTGACCTGGGCGGCGTTCCCTGGAAGGAGGCAGTGAGAATCCATGCTCTCCTGAAAGGAAGAAGTGAAGAGGAGCTAGAGGCCTCCAAGAGCTTTGAGCCTGAGGAGGAAGAAGAGGAGGAAGAGGAATATGAAGAAGAGGAGGAGGAAGAATATGAGGAGGAGGAGGAGGAAGAGTCCAGTGAAGGTCAGAAAAGTCTCTTCTAGCCCTGACCCTGTCCCTAGAACCCACATTCAAGTGTAAGAGATGAGGTGGCTGGAGTCACACGTGTACTTCCCTCAGAACCTAAGACCATTCTCTTGTGCTGCCTGACCATAGGTCCCGCGCAGAGAAAGGACATGGGGTGTCTGGCAGACCATTGCAGTGGGAATTATGTGCCTGTAGCATCTGTATTTTTAATTGGAAATGGAAGGCAGGGACCAGTGAAGGACTTTGTCCAAATTAGAATACTCATTGTCTCTCATTTTCTCTTTTTTACTTTTAGTTTCAGTTAGAAATTTATTTTTAATTTTTAGCAAGAATTTATTTTAGTATAAAAGATAAAGCATAGACGTTGTGGGGGCGGAGAGAAACATTTCCTGTTCCCCACTCAGGAAATGGGAGCAAAGATTCCAGAAAATTTTATTTTACTAAGGCAGAGGAATTGAGCTCTGTAAAGAGTCCCTGATTCCCAGTCTTGGATCACAGGCTGCTGTGAGCTTAGGTGCCCACTATATGATTTCCATCAACAATAGTAACTCTTGGGACCTGAGAAGGAGCATCTTTGTTTTCAGTCATTCCAATTGCTTCTGAAATACCCTTTTTGCCTTGGGCTTGAAGGGTTTTTTTTATTTTGTCCATCTCTGTGGCTGTGAGCTTGAGAAATGAGGAACTTGCCTGCGTAGAGAAAATCATTCTTTCCTGGCCACACAGAGGTCCCATGGGTGGAAGAAAGGAACCAGGGAAGATAAAGACCTGACTCCTCCTTGGAGGGCCATTCTCTCTCTATAGGACACAGAACCAAATGTAGGGATTCAGGTCTTCTAGTTTCCAAGCCCCAGTTTCTCCCACATGTCCAGGGAACAGATAAAGTTCTGGACAGTTAGATACAGTGGATTGACATGAAATTGCTCTGCCATTCCTGGGGCTTATCTGCGTTTCCTGGAATTCAGTGTGCTTGCTGCCTGGCCTTATCTCAGGGGCTGTTTTCTCTGGCACTGCAAGGCCCAAGCCCTTCCCAGACAGGCTCATGTTCGTGAACTGGTCCCTGGAGAACTGTGCAGCTCAGACACAGCCCTGGTGAGAAGGTGTCCCAGTGTGAGTTGTCAGGTTCAGGACACTTTCTCGGGGGTATATAGAGAGCTCCTCTGATGAACTTCTGTCCCACACCTTCTGTACTTGCCCCTCGGAAGGCCACGGTGGAGTCTGGGCAGACCCACAAAGTGGCCTGTGCCCTCTGCTCACCCGGTTTAATAAGACCAGGAAAAGGCTGCACAGGAAGGAGCCAGATCCTAGCTAGAGCCTGAGTTTTCTGCATCTTGCCACATCCACAGCACGTCAGAGGGAAGCCATTCCCAGAAGGAAGCCACATGGAGAAGGTATCTCATTCTCCTTGTTATTATCTCCATGTGAGGGTTGCTGCTTGGTGTCTTTTAGCTCTGACACAGCTAAAGGTTAGACTTGCTCCCTTTATAGAACTTCTCCAGCTTCCCCTCATGAAGACTTAACTGCCTGGGCTTGTACCTAATGCCAAGACCAGGCCTATAGTTGAACTAGAGAAACACAAACAGCACATTCAGCCAAGTTCTGGGTGTTCCCAGGTGGAGCCTTTGTCCTCAGCCTGCAATGTGTATCTTCTGGGCAGCAGAATTAGACGCCTGTGTGGGCAGTTACAAGACCCAACTGCTTGCAGCTGTAGATAACTCTGCTTTCTGTTCTTTCCTCCCTTCCATCCTTTCTCCACTTGTCCCCTGCGGGATTCTTGATGCTGTCTGTGGGTGTCTGGCTCCCTCTGCCGTAGAAGGGGAGTATTGTCCCTGGGACAGAGAACTCCTGCAAGGCCAGTGGCTCCAGCATCTCTCAAATGAAGAAGGAACGGGTACATGTAAAGGTACCCACTTTTCCCCTGTTTCCACTATACCCTGGCTCCCTAAGCAGCCATCCAAAATTTGCCTCCAAGAGCAGGTCCCACATGAAAAGATCTGGTTTTTTATACAGTTGCATCTACGGGCTTTACACATATCTAGCAGGTACCTGTCCCTGGGCCCAGCCTTCCCAGACAAAGCAGAGTAACATGTGAGTCAACAGATTCCAGAGAAGGCCTTATGTAAATGGCCCTATCTCTGCCCCTAAAGAGTTCCCTTATTCAGTTAAGACTTGGCTTCTCTGATGCAGAAAACCTCATGGCACAGCCACAGTTCTTCCACCCCACCCCAGGTACCTTTAACATTTCTCTGAAAGAGGAATGCTAGCTTCATACTGTTGACAAGTTCCCCAGGGCTGTTAGTGGAGGCAGAGTGTAGCTCAAGAAAAGAGCTGGAGATGTGGCTCATGGGGTAGAAAACCTACAAGCATGAGGCACTAAGTTCAACCCCCAGTACCATAAAAAAGAAGAGAGAAGATAGAGAAAGGGCCTGCCTTTTTCTCTCTGACCCACCTTCCCCATCCTAAGACATCCAGGCTGTTTTAGTGGACTACTGTGATTTTGCCCCATCTAGCACCATAAAGGCAAGTCGGCCTTGGAGACAGTCTGTGAATCAATATAGACCAGCTGCTCCAGTAAAGGGAGCCAGGAAGGGCTGATGCTCAATGTCACAGCAAAAAGGGGATTTCATAGGTACTTTCTGCCCATATGTCATCTCCATTGCTACAAGTGAAAAGGTTGTCATTGTGTTGACCAAAGCCAATTCTATGTTGTCCAGGTAGATTGTTAAGGGGAGAGGTGACCTACACCCCCAGATGGAAGGTGACTCTTGGCAGGAACTCCAAAATCCTTCAGATCAGTGGCACCTGCTCTTGCTGCCTAAACTGCTGTCCTCCTTACCATAGTGCCCCCTCATCCCAAGTTGCTGGCTGTCCTGTACTTAACCCTACTCTGTGTCATGATCCAAGCACTAATGATAGAAGTCCCATGGGGCAGAGGCTGTACGTGGATTCCGAGGCTCTGACAATGGCCTAGGGGCCACTAGAGAGTTTCATGTAGCTGAGAAACCAGGTCTCATGTCCAGAGGCATCAGTGGGCGTTTTAAGGAAAAGGGCTTCAACCACAGAAAAAGCAGAGGTTTCCACTTCATTCCTACCTTTGAACTCCTGGAGTTTGGGACTCTAAGGATAGAGCTCTGTTTCCTCTCCCAGCCACTGCCTCCCCTAACTGTCCTCCCAGGATTTGCGCTCTATTCCCTGTATTTCTAGATAGGGGTACTTATTCACCCCTCTGTAGAATGCACTGGTGCTTTCCTGGCAGATTGTGTCCCTGCCACTGACCCAGCATGTAGCCTCTTACAAAAGGGGTACTTTTCCTCCATGGCAGCAAAAGATAAAAGAGTAAAGTACCAACAAAGTCCTTTTCTGTCCTATGCAAGCTAGCTGGCTCATGACAAAATGGCACTGCTCCTGCCTGCCTTTATCCTATCACTTGGCTTAAATCTCAGAGGAAAACTGTCAGCCTGGCAGGTGATGGTAAGCACCTTGCTGGGTGACTCCTTGGGAGTCTGGCTATGTCCTTAGTCCCCTGGAGGTATGGCCCTTCCAAGGCCAGTTGTACTCTGCTCTTTTTTTCCTTCTTGGCATTTTTGGGTTCCTCAAATGCAGTTTAGGACAAAAAGAGCATCGGAAAGGAAAATTTCCTCTGCATTTGGAGTTGGAATATGTGATTCTCTTCACTGAAATTAGAAGTACATGTGCAACTTAAATGACTCAGTCAAACTGAATGAGGGGAAGGTGTGTGTTTGTGTGTGTGTGTGTGTGTGTGTGTGTGTGTGTGTGTGTGTGTTCTCAACTTTTATCTCTTTCTGATTCAAACTGGTCCTGGCAAATACTGTAACTTTTCTTCTGTTTCCTTTCCTGTGGTGTCTCATCCCCTCCTTCTCTTGACTGTTTATTTTCTCCTTCCATCCACCCCCTCACCCATCTCCTACATCCCTCGAACCTGGCACAGTAGCTGGGAATCACAGGCTGCAGCAGATCATAAATCCAGCAGATCCTTTGGCGATCCAGGCTGATGTGCACTGGACACACATTCGTGAGAAAGAGGAGGAGGAGAGAATGGTTCCAACCTCTGAGTCCTCCACTTCTAGAGGTAACTGCTTTGAGACCCAGGGTCCCGGTGTGGGTCCTAAGCATCTCCATCACTGCATCCCTTCCTTTGCTGCTGAGGACCTTTCTGCTAGGGCCAAAGGCACCAGTTTGATCAAAAGTAAGAGGCAACAGAACATTGCATTTTCCTAATGTTAATCAGGACCACTGCCCTTAACTCTCATTCAAGTATATGTAAAATTCTCTATGGACTAAAATGTAGGCTCTTTCTCCATTGATACAAAACAATAAAGTGATCCTGACCTGAGAAAACACAGGAATTTGCCCCTTATTTCTTTGCAGAGTTAACTCTTCACCCCTCTGTAGAATGTGTTAGTACTTTCCCTGTGGAATGTGTCTGGGTGTGACTGTGCATGACAGGAGTGGGGAAGCATGGATTAAAGTGAAATTAAGAGATGTCTATCAGGAAGGCCTCTAGTCATTGCATCAGTCTCAACTCCAGATTTTAGGTAAGATGGTCTGTGTTTCCCAGCAAATGCACCTTAATCTGGCATCTTTTTTTTTTTTTGAGATGGAGTCTTGCTAAGCTAGGCTGTCCTTGAGTGACTGGAATAGAGATGTATGCCACTGTGCTTGGCTTCTTTTAAGGAATAGCAGTAAAACAAAACAAAGAAACTCTTTGAGGAGTGTGGCTAGTATCATTCTCTTCAGCTACCCATCTTCCAAATGGAACCCTTGGTATCACCACCTTCTCTGGCTCACTTAACTAGAGTCACTTATTCATTAGAGCATGATGAACCTATTACAGGTATGGGTGTATTCATTTGGAGTCTATTATGGGCCCCATACCCTAAAAGTACACAGAAAGGTTCTTTCTGTCCTCTGACAACTCAGATTTTCATTCTCCCCAACACACAATTTTTGCCATAGGCAAGACCAACCTCTGTTAATGGCTTTTGCAGCACTGTAGACACCCAGTAGCAGTGCAGAAGTTGCTGAGAGAGATCCTGCTGACCAGGCGTGCAATACTGAGGTGGGGATGGCTCTGCAGCCCTAGGTTTGCCCTCTCTTGGGTTTCCCTCTTCTCTCTTTTTTCCAAGTACCCATCAAACAGGCAAACAGCAGACGGTCAACCCTCATCTTGTGATACTGGCTCAGTTTCTCTTCTGTGTTGGACTTCAGGATTGACCTCAGCTCTCCTCCCTGGAAACTTAACTGCTGTGTAACTTTGCATTTATCATTTGTTTTAAATTCAGTGCCCGGCCTTCCCTCCATTCGCCGCGCAGCAGTGCAGGCCTGGCTGGAGACGGTCTCTGGAGGTAGTCTGGTGATGTTTGATCCCTCCCCACTCACTGTAACCTTTCTCTCTAGGCAGCTCTGCTGGTGCCTTAACACCAGGACTCTGGTCCTGTAGCTGCTGCATGCAAGAGCAGAGCCAGCGGGGGGAGGAGGGCACGTGCATGCCTCATTCAGGCTGCCCATCCCTGCATGGACCAGGAGCACCCCACACCCTCAGGCAAACTATAGGAAAGCAGCAGTGTAGACAGGACAGAGATACACCTTTGTTTATTAAGAGGGTATAAAGACCAAAGTTTAAGAAACCTTTTTGGACTATGGTTTAGTCTATAGAAATTAAGTTGTATAGTGATAGAGTGTGAAATCAGAGGAATCACATAATTATTCCATAAATCTACCAAAGTATCAAAGAAGAAAATAGTCAAAACTCAGGAAGGAGGTAGGGTAAATTTACCAGAGGAACAGAGGGCAAAAGACTAGTGGGTATTGTTCAGCCAAAGTCAGAGGGGCAAGCTGGGTATAACCAGGTGGGATATCACCTGGATCCATAGACTGAGCAGCAGTGTCTTATGCCAAAAGATAATTGAGAATCCTTAGTTGGCCTTCCTAATTTTTTCTTGAAGCATGTTTCTCAAGGAGATACTACTGGCATTTGGGACAGGTCAGTCCTTCCTGTCCACACTCTTAATGCTGCTGCACAGTTTCCATCCCCACCCAGTCATTACGGCAGCTAAGGATTCCTGCACATGTTCCCAAGCACCACATGGGGAAGGGCTGAGAGCCACAGGCCTAGCAGTCATTTCCTACACTCATGGATCTTTACCATCAGCCCCGTAGTCCTCACCAGAAGCAGGAAATACACACACACAGTAAGGGAAGTCTTTGTAGGCCTCTGGAAAGATTATTAGCACCTAGTGCAGCTGACCCTGGCTACAAGCACTGTGAGCACAGGACAAGGGGACAAAGCTAAGGAGGAAGGATGTCCAAGCTGGCAGCTGAAATAGACAGTGATTCCTGGCTTTTGTATTGTGTGGCTCCTCACCTGTGTGGCTGCTTCCAGCACCCTGCGCTCCATCTTAACCTGGTTTCCATCCCCCAGTTCCATCGCTCAAGCTGTGTCTCCTCGAACATCTGCTGCTGCTGCACTGATAGCTCTCATGTGGTTTTTATTTGTTTGTTTTTGATATGTGTGACCATCTTTCCTTTCAAGGTACTTCATGGAGTGTAGGACCCTCTCCCTTCTGACTCTACAGCAGGTGTTTCTTAGTAGGAACTCCAAGAGGGAGAATGTCATGATGAACTGAAAGACCAGGACTGGAACAGGCTAACCCTATTCCCAAATAGTGGCAGCTGGGAGAGTCCAAAGAGTGGTCTCCTTTGTGCTCACTTCCAGCTTACTTGTCAGTGAGAGTGTTAAATTGCCACCTTGCTGCCAGGCACTTGCTGATTCATTCAAGTGAACACGTGAGGCACAAAGGGCCATCTTGGATCTGGGCCAGTGTTCTGTTCCCACCCAACCTTTTGTTTTCAGACATGGTGCAGTGCATAAAGCTCAAATTTGAAGAAGAGCCCAGAGGATTGCTGCCTTTTATTGGATCATTTGTGCCTCCAGAGTCCTGCTCTCTGGTCTTTGACAAATCATCTTCTATGAGTGGCCAAAAGCAGTGTCATCACCCAAAGGTTTTACACCTATGAAATTATTGAGTAGTATTTTTCCCAGCAAAGGCCATCTTTGTAAGAAAATGCTATGTCATTGGCAGCTCCCTGGGCTGCTCTGGTATTTCAGAAGAACAGGTGGCATTAACTGTTCACCAACTTAGAACTTCTCTTGGTGCACAGCCATCTCTCTCTGAACCCTGGACTGTCTGTTCTATTCCAAATCTTTTCCCATACTTCTTCAATTTCACAAAAGTTCTTCATAGATTTGAACCATCAGCTTATAAATTTTGCATAAAAGATAAATACATTTAATAAAATGTTAAAAAAAATTAATTCAACCATCACCTAGACCAAGAAGTTAAACATTCCCAGGGATGGAGGCATGGCTCAAGTTGTAGAGCACCTACTTAACAAGTGCAGGACCCTTAATTCAAACCCCAATACTGCAAAAGAAAAAGAGAAAAGGAGGGAGGGAGGGAGGAGGGATAGAAGAAAAGAAAAAGAAGTAAACATTCCCAGCACCTTCAAGGTGCCCTCTCCTAGTTCAGTTCCAATCCCTCCCTCTACCCTACTGCCAAAGGGAATCCCTTCCTGGAGATCCATCATCACCTGACCTCAGTGGTCACTTGTACTCTCTCTATCAGAGTGAAGGATTTAGGAGGGATGGCAGCTTCACTAGGTTGACCTGCAGAGGAAACTTTCACTGAAAACATCTGGCTGTTCTGTGACTGCCTTCTCCCACTTTCAGCTCAACTTTTTAAAGAAATTCATCCAGTCTAATGTTCCCATGCCTTAAGCAAATTTTGTGTTTTCTTGTTCTATCTAAAAATGAAAACAAGGAAGGAATTCACCCAACTGTGCCCCAGGCCCTCTGCTCCCTCCCCTACCTTGGGCCTCGGGCTCTTATGTGTAACTCAAAACATTACCACAATTCTGAAATGTATGTCTGTGGGAATGATTGGAGGAGTAACTGAGCGTGGAACCTACAGGAAGTCCTTATGGACCTGGCAGATGGGTACTGTGAATCTTCCAGTGTCCTGAGGCAGTGCTTGCCCATGCTCACCACTGCCTGTCTGCACTGTCTGAGAGATAGGTTGGGGCCAGGCAGTGTGCATGTTTAGCAGCCGGTTCCCCCTCAGGAGAGATTAGTGCCTAGCTTCATTCTGCAGCCTGAAAGGGCTACTTGAGTCCAGAAAGGGAACTTTACATATCCCCTCAACCTGCCCCCCTCATGCTTTTCTAAATTTTCCCAAGAAAAGCAACACCCTCTGCCACTGGAAAGGGTGGGACCCTCAGGGGTCCTGCTGATCATTCCTGTAACTCTAGATTGAACATTAGGGCCCTCTGTAAGTCACTTGAACTGCTGGGCCTCAGCCTTCTCACTCAAAGGTAGGCATTAAGGATGGTCCATCTAACTGCATCCTGATGAGGAGTATATGCTCCTGGCTTGTGAAATGGTCAGTGTAGTTTATGGCTCAAAGGCACTGGTAACCAGAAGCTTTTATTATAAACTGCCAACAGTTCAGCAACAGTGTCCCCTTTGACCATTGCACACTTGAGGCAGTCGTAGCAGCCTCAGGGAAGATGGGACTCAGCCAGGCCATAAGCTGTTCTCTTTGCACTTGACCCTACTCATAGAAAAATGGTTTGGGCCCTTCTTAGCATTCACACTGCTTATAGAGCACTCCTCAAGTCCATCCTGTTGGCCTTCTTCCCCTACCTGTGGCTGGTCACATCACTACCCTGGAAAAGCAGTCCCTCCTCCTCCCTGCACAGGCCGTGTGTCCGTCTGTCTTCTCTTTTCTACCTGTCCTTGAACATCTCTGCTTTACAGCCCCACTGGATGAGAATGAACTGGAAGATGTGGACTCAGAGCCAGCAGAGACAGAAGGGGAGGCTGCAGAGGATGGGGACCCTGGGGACACTGGTGCTGAGTTGGATGATGGTATGGGGCCCCAGTCTCTACTCTCTACTGAGGTGACCTCCTGTTTCCCGTGGCAGGGCGGGGGAGGGGGAGGGAGGGCAGGGCCAGAAATATCCAAGTAATCTACTTTATATCAAAAGCTCCAGAGGCAACCCTTAGGACTCCTGGGTCATTTTTTGTCCCACAAGTGACTTGAACAAGTCTTATTTCACCCACCCTGAGTAGCTTGTGTGCATTGAACTGTGTGTGGTTGGTTATAGGCTGCCTTAAATCCAGCAGATGCCCCTGAAAACTAGAGGCCAGGACACTTGAAGAATTTTAAGAATTACCATCTCATTGGCTGGAGGGAAAGGAGCAGGGGGTAGACTAGGGAGAAAGGAAAACAAAGATTAAGGCAAGATGGTGAGGATGTGTACAGACCTCAGCTGTGGTGTTGGATAGTAGGTCAGGGACTGGTGAAAGGAGAGGGAAATTGAGTCCTTCTACTGGCACACCTGAAGCTTTTCTTCCTGTGGTGGCCTGTAATTGTCATGGTTACTATATTTAAAAAGTAAATGGCTCACTCCAGGCTTCAAGGAGATCCCACATTGCAGAGGGCAATGCAAGTCACACCTGGTCAGTGCTTTGGCTATGTCTCTGAAGCTCAGGATGAAACAGCAGGCAAGGTCTGTTGCCACCTAAGAGGCCAGGCTCAAAAGGACTGCAAAGCTCAGTCCAGACCTCACACTACTGCACTGCAGTCAGTCAATCCATTGGGCTGTTTTATGGGGAAACAGGAGACAGAAGAGCATATCTTGACTCAAGATGTACACTAATTTGTGTCTGTTACCACCACCCCCACCCCAGATCAGCACTGGTCTGATGACATCCCATCTGATGCTGAAACAGAGGTTCGCTTGCAGCACCAGGCTGAGGTGGAAGCAGAGCTGGAGCTGAGGGTATCAGAAAATGAAGAGGAGAAACCACCAGCTTTACCAAAGCAACAAGAGAGAGGTAGGTCTGCTGCTGCTGGCAGGAGATACAGCATGCAGAATGCCATATGAGCCATGGGGGCAGGCATTGGCACCTGGTGAGGATTCAGAGCAGAGCCCATGCTGCTCAACAACAGCCCTGCAGACAGCCAGGATCCCTCCTCCTCCCCACCTCATCCTCCTCCTGTCCCGGGCCACAGGCCTTTGCAAATGGCTTTGGCCAGAAGCACCTTTCCTTGTGTTGTTTGGGACCATGAACAGATGATGGTCTATCTCAGAGCTTGGAACCCAGATAGTATATACCACACACACACATACACACTTGCCAGGAATGCTGGCAGAGGGAGGGCACTGGGTTGTATTTGAAGAAGTACTGTCCTAGTGTCCCCTCATTTCTGAGGGTGGTTCTTTCTAGAAAACACAACAGGAGTTAGCTAGCTAAGCTTCTGCTCTTAGCAGCCACCTGGCTGCAGTGTGAGACCCTCTCTGGAACTGGCTGCCCACAAGACTGAAGCTGGTAAGACTGGTTTCCTCTTGTAAATTCCTGTGCTCCTTCTTTCAGGTCCTTCCCAGGACTTTAGCCCCATCCTGACCCCTCAGGAAGAAGCCATTCTGTTCACCCCAGCCCACAGCCCTGTGGCAGAGGTAAGGATTTAATCTCACCATGAGGGACAAGTAACTGACAGAACCCCAAAAGGGCATAGTAAGACCTGTCTTATGGCCCACAGCGTGAACCCCACTAAGACTGAAGGTAAAGTAGCCTACTAGCCTCATTCTGAGGGAAAAAAATTTTTTTTTTTTCTTTTTTGCATTTTGTGCTAAATAGGGCTGTTGACAATAGAAGCAGCCTTGGGGATGTAGTTCAGTCCTTGTCCTGAATGGACAAATAAACTTTTATATTAAAGCAGTGATATTTGTGGGATTGTGGGTTGTGACAGATATGTTTTTCTTTATGTTAAAATAAATGTCTAACTATTTAAGTTAAAAATATACCTCCAGATATGCCTGTGGTGTGTGAATCACTTAGAGAATGTTCTATAAATACATTATAACAATGTCCCAGGGAATGTGGCTTCAGAAGGCAGAATGGAGAAGACGGCAAAGAGACAGGGTCTTTGGTATTCTGGGCAGCATGGGACGGTTCAGCAATTGACCTGTGAATTAGGGAGCTTCCTCTCACTGAGACGCTGGAATGCATGATAGAAGGACCTGAGTGCATCTCAAAACTTCCAAGTAAGGACACTGTGACCTGCAGACTGTGCCAACTAACAGTCTTAAACTTCACAGTGTTAGCCCCATGTTGGGCCTTCAGGGACCCCAGAGATCTGGAGATTGCTGGTTACAGTGAAAGCCTAATTCATTAGCAATCTTGGCCAGCTCATGTCAGTGGACAAAGAAAACAGAATGTGTTTGAAATGAACCAAACTCTGAAAACTCAGTCTATTCAAACTAAGTGGGGGAGACCTAAAAAAAATGAACAAATAGAGCAGAAAATAAGGAAGCTTCTCCTGGAGCCATTCAAATAATAGCTAAAAGGACGGAGAGAGTAATTTATTTAAACACATCAGCCCTTTGAGAAAGAAAGCTGCCTAAACGTTATCTCTGACCATTGAAATACTCACCTCTTAAGCAGCTTCTGTCTTCCTTTTCTTGTAGGGGCCCCAAATCCCACTTGCCTCTGTTTCTACAAAGGTGAAATCCCCTGAGAAGTACCTTTTCCCTGAACCTCTGCTCCCCAGAGAGAAGCCCAAAGCTGAAGCCCCTGCAGATGAGAAAGCTGCATGCTCTCCCATCCGATCACAGCCCATGGCTCTGCCAGAAGCCAGAACACCTGCCTCACCTGTTAACTCCCAGCTTGCATCACCACTGGGCCTCTCCACACCCTCCTCTGCCCAGCTCCCCATCTGCTCCCAGCCTCAGCCTTCCTCAGAGGCCACTATCCCTTCCCCCACCAAGTCCCCCATACGCTTCCAGCCAATTCCAGCCAAAGCATCCACACCCCTGACTCCCCTCCCCATGGAGAATCAAGGTGACCCCCAGGGTAGACTGGGCAGCCCTCTGGCTGTGGATGAGGCCCTGAAACGGAGTGATCTGGTAGAGGAGTTCTGGATGAAGAGTGCAGAGATCCGCCGCAGCCTCGGGCTCACACCTGTGCAGCGGAGCAAGGGGCCTGAGCCCAGCTTCCCCTCACCTGCCTTCCCACCAGTGTCCCTAAAGTCCTACCCAGTTGAAAAGTCTCCTCAGAATGAGGGGCACCATCTTTTGAAACCCCCACCTGTTCCTAAAAGGCTCGGGCTGCCAAAGTCAGCTGGTGACCAGCCCCCACTACTAACTCCCAAGTCACCCTCTGACAGAGAGCTGAGGAGCTCCCAGGAGGAGCACAAGGACCTATCCAGCAGCTCTGGCCTGGGCCTCCATGGCAGCTCTTCCAACATGAAGACCTTGGGCAGCCAGAGCTTCAACACCTCAGACTCTACCATGCTCACCCCACCTTCCAGCCCACCACCACCCCCACCTCCCAACGAGGAGCCTGCAACCCTAAGAAGGAAACCCTATCAGACTTGCGAGCACAGGGAAGCTGAGCCCAAGGCCTCGGTTATCCCTCCTCCCCCACCTTTTATGCGGCCCCCACGGGAGCCTGCCCAGCCCCCCAGGGAAGAGGTGCGGAAGTCATTTGTGGAGAGTGTGGACGAGATTCCCTTTGCTGATGATGTGGAGGACACCTATGATGAAAAGACCGAGGACTCTAGTCTGCAGGAGAAGTTCTTCACGCCTCCCTCCTGCTGGCCCCGTCCGGAGAGGCCCCTGGCCAAGGAGAATGGGCGGTTGCCTCCTCTGGAGGGCAGCACCCAGCCACAGAAGAGGGGGCTACCCCTAGTCTCTGCAGAAGCCAAGGAGCTGGCTGAGGAGCGTATGAGAGCCCGGGAGAAGTCTGTGAAGAGCCAGGCTCTGAGAGACGCCATGGCCAAGCAGCTGAGTAAGATGCAGGGGATGGAGATGGTATCTGTGGCCTCCAGGTCCCGCACAGCACTCTTGGCAGCCTCCCAGGGCAAGGAACTCAGGTCTGAGTCCCCCAGGCACTCAGGCCTCAGAAGCTCCGAGGAGCCCACCCTAAAGCATGAAGCCACCAGTGAGGAAGTTCTGTCCCCTCCATCAGATTCAGGGGGTCCAGATGGTTCCGTCACCTCGTCTGAGGGCTCCAGTGGGAAGAGCAAGAAAAGGTCATCCCTCTTCTCCCCCCGCAGAAACAAGAAAGAGAAGAAGCCCAAAGGGGAGGGCCGGCCCACAGAGAAACCTAGCTCGAGTGTGCTGGAGGAAGCAGCTGCCAAGCCCAAGTCCTTGTGGAAGTCAGTCTTTTCTGGGTACAAGAAGGACAAGAAGAAAAAGGGTGATGAGAAGTCCTGTTCCAGCACCCCATCCAGTGGTGCCACGGTGGACTCCAGCAAACGCAGGATGTCTCCTGTTGTGAGAGCAGGTATATCAGCAGTCCACAGGAAATGCACTGTCCAGTCATGTGGTAGTTCTTAAAAGATCTACCTTCACATGCTGCTCCTTCAAGGAGTCTTAAGAGAGAAGGGAACGAAACCATAGGTGTCCAGAACATATCCCCACATCAAAAAATAATTCTAAAGCCCTCTTGAAACTGGGTAGGGGAGATTTTGGAGGTCACCATTCCTAACATCACATTACCCCAGAGGTGGCCTGATTTTGAGTGGGAAAAAAGGAAAGACCTGCAGGAAGGTGCTGGACAGGTGCTCCATGGTGCCATCTGTTTGGTGTTGGTGCTGCCCTATGGGGACAAGTACCTGCACCCAAGCTCACAGCGCCTCCCTGTGGGAGGGGAATCATAAGCCCCTGATCTCCCTGGCTGCTTATTTACACGTGTAAAAGTTGAGGTATTGGTCACTGTCCTCACTTAGCCTCTTTTAACCCCTGTAGAGCTGCAGCTCCGGCGCCAGCTGAGTTTCTCAGAGGACTCGGACCTGTCCAGTGACGACATCCTTGAGAAATCCTCACAGAAGTCCAAGCGAGAGGTGGGTGGGTCCAGTCCTGGTAGGTCTTTAGGAGTGTTGCTAACCAACTGTTGTTCTCCTGAAGAGTAGAAGACAGGAAACCCAGTAAAGCTGAGGTGGAGAATTAGTACCCCCTGACCTCCCAGCAGACAGACAGCAGAATGCTGAGCCAGCCCAGGGTTGAGGAAGAGCCCCAGAAGGAAGGAGTCCTCCCTGAGGCCTCTTTTAGTGCACACCTGGAGGGAGGTTCCACTGCAAGCTGTCTGGTGTTCTAAGGCAGTCCATGTACAAGCGTCACTGCCTTTAGAAGCGACCTGGCACTGTTCCCGTGTGGAATAGCATCTGCCAGACCTGGCAGTGTGGAAAGGATTGCCATACTGCTTCAGGTCGTAGATGCAGTAATGAGTGACAGCCAGGCGTGGACAGGAGGTGGGCTGAGTTGCTCACTTACGGATGAGCCTGGCCATCCTCCTGCCTATGGAAGCTGGCTTTAGTGTGTGCTAGGAGTGGTGTGGGCCCTCTGGCTGCACCAGGGCTTAGGAGAAGGGATGGCCACTCAGCCCTCCTGAGGAGCAAAGGCTCCCTATGAAGGGTTCCTTCTTGGTGGCTTCCCTTGGGTGCTTGTTCAGTCTTTTTTGGTTTTCAAGGGTTATGGTAGCTTTTCCCAGATACAGTGAAGTTGGAGGAGGGAGAGAGTTAGAGTTCTTTTTATTTTTGTTTTGTTGTTGTTGTTGTTTGTCCTTTTTCTCTCTTTTTAATTTTCTCTTTGATTAGAGAGTATTCTAACAGGGCATCTATGTCATAGTGACAGCAATTGGATGGGAACTAAGGTCCAGAAAAGCCTCAGTAGCAAGACAGGGGTGGTGACACTCTGTGTGAGGGTCCTACCTGCTCCTGTCTGTTAGCCCTGGAGCATTTGCCCCATCCTGTGCAGGGTGATAGTCTCGCTGCCCCCTACCTTCCTTTTTGAATGGAAGATTGCCCTGGAACATCATATACTTTTCCAATAAGTCTTCTGGGGTTTGGACTTATGTGTTCATCTCCCTGGACATGCCAGCTCTTTCTCCACTGCCCCGGGACACCTAGAATGACAGGCCTCTCCTCCTGCTCCACCTGGTTGTAGAGCTAGGCTGCCTGTGTACCTCCAGGCCACATTTAAGTATGGGTCTGGGAGCCCCTGTGTTCTCAGTTTAACCTCCGATTGCCTCCAGTTGAGTGCTCCTGGCTGAGAACTACTTGCAGTGCTGGTACTGAGCCAAAGATTGCATGGTAGTCTCTAAACATATCACAACACTGGGGACAGATGCTGCCTTAGGGAATCCTGAAGGGCATCTATGAAGAAAGTAGAACATAGTCTAAGGTTCCCTTTCCTCCATGGTTAGTATTGCAGATGTTCAGTTTCATGTCACATTGGTCATAAGTGTCCATCTGTGGTTGCTGCTGTGGTTGGGTCTCTCCATTGCTTCTCCATGAATTAATGAAACACCCTGCCACAGTGCTGAGCAGCTGGCTGCCCACACTGATAATGCTAAAACCATCATCTCAGTGCAACTGCTCGCTGACCACAGATTCTCCAGGGCCTTGAAGGCATAAGAGCAAAGAAACCCCCACCCCCCCCCCGGCTATATGAACAACAAGTCCTAGAACCATAGGGCCTTGAAGATCTTGTACACTAGGTGGACCCCACAGGGACAAAGCTGTTTGTTTGCTGGAGGTCACATAAGACATGGTAAAGACAAAACAGAGCCTAGGAGGCAGCTAACCTGGCTCCTACCATGGTGTGGAGTCAAACCAAGTGAAGGCAGGGCACTGTCTTCAGTGTTTTGAAAGGAATCAAAACTAGGAGAACAAACCAGAACAAAAAAAGCCATAAAAGACATTTTAGGGACAGTTAAGGAAAGTTGATGGTGAACAGTGTGTATAGTATTTATAAGTCTCATCAAATCCACACCAAGGGCCTCACGAGTGACAGAGGTACTGTAATTATATTGAAAAATGTCTTTTGTTCTTATGAGGAGGTACATGGTAAAATTTTTAGGGATGAAGGTTCATGATGTCTAGAATGTTTTAAAGATCACACACACACACACACACACACACACACACACACACCCCTTCTGAAACATGCTGCAAAATGCTGACATTGGAGTTCACACCTATATTCGTAGCTACTTGGGAAGTTGAGATCAGGAGGATCATTGCAGTTTGAGGCCTGCCCAGGCAAAAGTTCAGGTGACATGCACCTATCATCTCAAGGTGTATGTGGTAGGATGAGATCAGGAGGATCGCAGTTCCAGGCCAGCCTGGGCAAAAAAAGTTTTTGAGACCCCATCTCAACAAAAAAAAGCTGATATGGTAACACATGCCTGTCATCCCAGCAATGACTGGAAGTTTAAAATATAAGGATTGAACTGGGTGCCAAGGATTGAGCCAGTGGCTCATACCTATAATCCTACTAATTGGGAGGTTGATATCAGATCACAGTTCAAGGCCAGCCCAGACAAATAGTTCATGAGACTCCCAACTCCTAAATAACCAAAGCAAAGTGGACTAAAGTGTAGCTTAAGATGTAGAGTGCCTGTTTTGCAAGCGTAAAGCCCTGTGTTCAAACTCCAGTTCTACCACACAGGAGGTTCTAGGTCCAGGCCAGACTAGGCAAAAAGCAAGACTATGTCTCAGAATAATCCGAACAAAAAGAACTGGAGGAATGGTTCAAGCAGTAGAGCGCCTGCCTAGCAAGCACAAAGCCTTTGGGCTCAAACCCTAGTACCATCCAAAAAAAACCTGTGACAGTGAGGAAATCTAGGTAAAGGGTATTCAAGTTTTCATTGTCTTCCTCTTTAAACGTTTCTAGCTTTGAAGCTTCAGAATAAAGTGGGGAGCAGGGGGACTGAGAGTGAATGATGTTTGACTTTACTGGAGAGGAAAGCCTCTAGTGCAGGCTCCTAGCTGTGGGCCACTGTGCAATACGAATGGAGGCAAGGGCTTCTCCTGCCACACAGACCCCAGTCCGGAGTCAGCACCATCAAAGTGCCTGGATTTTGTTCTGATAGGACAAAAAAAAAGTAACTTTTATTTCTGTTTAAATGTTTATTATACAAAAGAATTTAGATAGTGCTGGTGTTTTTAACCACATATAGCCCTGCCACCAAGAGGTAACTTGCGTTGACCTCTTTCCTTTGCTTCTATCTGACTCATAGCGCGGCTAGCACAGCTGCTTCTTGGCCATTGTGGCCCAATGGAGTGCTCTCCTCCCTCCAACAGCTCCTCATCCTCATTCTCTCATGACCAGCCACACTCTTGGGCTTCACTGTCTCCAGTACACCTGAGATGTGTGGTGTTTCTACTCTGGTTACTGCCGCTACCAAGTTGGTACCAGCCATCTTATCCAGAAATGAATGAATTAAGGAGAAGGAGGCCACTGTGCTACCCCCTAACCTTTGCAGCAGCCTCCAAGTGTCAATGCCATTCCTTAGACGAGATCGGGCGCGTTCAGGGTGGTATGGCTGTAGACCAATGCCATTCCTTAGGTGTGGCTTCATAGTCATGTGAGTTCTTCCCAGGCTGTCCTTTTTGTTTTTCAACTAGCCTGTTCTAACAGTGAAAACCTTCCTCTCACTCTGCCTTGTGGGAGAGATGAGTTGGCCCAAGGCAGGGTGTCCATACTCAAGAGTTAAAGGAGGCAAGTCCATTCTCCTCCAGCCAATATGTGTGTGACATGTGTGTCCCCAGTGTACCAGTGCCCAGGACAGACAGAAGCAGCATGAGCACTGGGGCACTGCAGTTCCTCCTGAAGTTCTCAGCATCTCCCTATCCTGTGGGCCACCAGACTCAAGCATCCTCCCTCTCTGGCTCCCTGACAGCTTTTTAACCACTTAATATGGCCAGTGAAAAGACCAGAAGAGCAAATGTAACTGACTACAGTGCCCTGAGCAGCTCTGCTCAGCATTTTAAGGCGGCAAGAAGGGGTTACCATTACTGCCTGAAATACTTCTGTGACTAGCAGTGATTTATGCTGTTTCAGTTCCCTTCACCAGGTATAATCAGGAAACAGCCTACATTCCCAGTCTCAGGGTGACACACTGAACCCATGTGGCCATGCTGGGGAACACTGCCAAGAGAGAGCCTTTTGGGAGAGGATGTGAATTTTGGTGCTCCGTTTCCCTCTGTGTCTATGTCTGACATCAGGAATCCTCCCCCACCCACCCCCATTACACAGCATAGAACAGTCAGTGGCAGAAGTGGTCTAAATTTCCCCAAGCAGAGGAATGGGTTACTAAGGGGGAAATGGGACCTGTAATCCTACATTTAAACAGTTTAGGCTTCTTCACAAGGAATACTGACACGAGAAGATTTGAGAGATGATGAAGAACCTGTTTCTATTCAGCGAGTAGAAAAGTGAGCCTCGGTTTTGATTAAGACCAGAGTTCGCTAGGATGCAGCTGCTAGGGTCTGCACACCCAGGTCCTCCTCATGTAGTCTTATGTGATGCTGTGGAAAATGATCATGTGTTTAAGTCTCGTGTTTGTTTTAAACTTCTAACTGATTTTACTCCATTTCTGTGTTCTATTTTAATTTTTTAATCATCATTATCATTACTATTCTGTTTTGTTTTCTGTTGCCATCCCCTTAAAAGTCGATTTATGTACCACACGCCTTGGCATTCAGGAGATCCTACTCATCAAAGGTAGTGTCTCATTTCCGCTGGCTGGCCCTCCTTGCATGCCTGTCTGTGATTAACACCTGGGACAGCCCTGCTGGGCCTGCAGCCACGTCCTCACTAACTGTTCATATGTGCATGCAGCTGTAGCAGCGAGTCTGTCTTTTAGCTATGTCCTGAGGCAGAAGGAAGATGAGACACCCGCTCTTCACTGGCTAGAGAGCATGTGGTCATTTTGTTCCAGATGCCCGGGGGGGAGGGTGGGCAGAGCTGCGCCATGGGTTTGGGCAGCTCCATAAGGGGTGGCCACCAGCCCTCTGCTGTGGTCTGTGAGGTAAACTGTCAGGGCCCTGGAACACCACAACAATCCTTAAGGGCTGCCCATTGCCTGTTCCCCTGACCCTACATTATCATTTGAGTTCCTTGAGGACCCCTGAGTTGAATATGGAAGTCTTTAAAGGCTGTAAAATGGTTCTAATTTTGGTTTGCTTAGAGGCAATAAAAAGGGTCTCATGAACGAAGGCAAACCTTCCATATGTGCCTCTCACTGGTTGCCCGGTGCAAGTGGACCGAGGCAGGCCACATCAGTGAGATTGCATAGGATTTGCCCCGTTACTCCTGATCTTGACGGCACAGGCTACAACCACACTGGCCAGGCCACCTCCTCTCTTCCTCTCTATGGTGACTGTTGCCTCTGCAGACCCAAGAGTCAGTTGAAGATCACCTACCATCCCTTCAGATTTAAAATAGAAGCATCCCTGTTTTCTCTGCATTGGGTGTTATTTCTTAAAAGAACCTTGTGAATACCACTCATCTGAAGAAAGTGACTTTTGATACCAAACAAGAAAATAAAAGGATCCTGACTTTTCAGGGGTTTTTTTCCTTTTACTGTATGCCTCAGATGCAAGAGGCTTGGGGGAACAGTTCACCGTGATTTTTACACCCACAAGGTGTTAAAAAGTATGGTCATCTTCATTTGGGAAACAAGTGATCTCAGTGATAAAGGAGTATGATGTCCTTTTTTGGTTTTAACCTCCTAACACTCAGTCCCCTCTTACCCTCCTGTCACAGGAGGGGAATTGTCTCACCTTGTGGGTCTTTAGTTGTGCTCTGTGGCATTTAGGACTCTAGCAGGGACACATGCCCATGAAACCTTTAGATGAACTGCAGCAGGGGACTACACACATCCAGTGCCCAACTGTCTGCCAGGCACCAGCTCCCACTTAGAGGACAGTGCTCCCCATGCTCCTGCCGGCTTGCCGCCCAAACCCATCTGCAGCCTTCCTGCACCTGGCTGAGGAGATCTCTCTTGTTTATCCAGCCAAGAACCTACACAGAGGAGGAGCTGAATGCCAAGCTGACCCGGCGTGTGCAGAAGGCAGCTCGGAGGCAGGCCAAGCAGGAGGAGCTCAAGCGGCTGCACCGAGCCCAGGTACAACACAAGCAGTAAAGCAGCCCCTGTGGGTGCAAGTCAAGTGTCTGCACCTTCCTGTGCACCCAGCCTGGCCTCATCCAGGATGAGGGAGGGTGAAGGAGTCCAAGCAGAGGCAGACAGGATATCTCTGTCATCTGAGATGATAGCCCCCAAGTGCCTTTGACTCCATGCAGCTAGAGAGGCCCCCATTGTTGTGGAGCTGTTGATAAAAAAGGAAGAGCTACAGCTGGAGTTTCCTAAATTTCATTGTCTAGAAAAGTTTTAAAGTCAACTAGTTCACTTTTAAGCAATAGTGTTCAGGTTAGTAGCCTGCCAGCCTTAAAATGGGTCTGGAATTTTGTGGGGAGAGCTTAGAACTGCCCCAAGTCATCAGTTTCTCTCTTCAGGCCTTACATCTTACACTATCCTAGACTTTTTCTTTAATTATTTATTTCTAAGAACCACCTCCAGTATTTTAGCAATTTCATTATCATAAAGGTCTGAGATACTTAAATGCATCCACCTCCTGTCTTTGTCCTGCTGCAGGGAGCAACTGGCCCCTGTTGCCTGGCCAGGGAGGTCCAGCTACAGGTGGTCAGCACACTGCACTCTGAACATAATGCCTGTGGGCCATAGTCCCTTCCAGCATCTTGATGTAATTTGTCTTTTTCCCCTCTTGAGTTTGTGCAGCATAGCTTTTCTCCAAGCCGGAGGTAAGAGAGAAAGCTGGGGGCTTACACTGCTGTTTTTTGGTAGATCATCCAACGACAGCTGGAGCAGGTGGAGGAGAAGCAGAGGCAGCTGGAGGAGAGGGGGGTTGCAGTGGAGAAGGCACTCCGAGGCGAAGCAGGTACTATCTGGCTTCCTTTGCAAGGAGGCTTGTTCTGGAGAATCCACCCTCCTCACTGGGCAGGGTCATTTTTGCATCTCCTCTTCTGGAATTGCGCTCCTTTTCCAGCAGAATTATCTGGGTCCCTGTATCACTGACAGCTGAGGCTTCCTGTTAACCAAAAGAAAAGCACCTGTGTTTGGGCAACCCTGTGGCCTGGGCCTGCTTCCCAGCCCTTCTCACAAGTTGCCCTTTACCTGTAAAAATGAAATCTCAGACCCTGTCATCTGTTGATGGCAAGCTCCTCCTCCCCATCATTTTCTCTAGGAGAAAATACCTGGGAACGAGGGAGATTGTACCACAAGGAACCATCACAGAACTGCACTGAACAGGCCCCTCAGCCTGCTCTCCCCATGTGTTTCTCCTGTCCTTAGTCCCTGGGACCCCTCCTGCCCAAGCTGCACACCCACAGAGCCCACACCATCTCCTTCAGACAGGGCTATGCCTACTTCAGTGCTTGCAGATTTCCCTGGGTGAGCCAAGGCTTTGTATCCACTAAACTTTTATCACAGGGCAGGGTTGGAAAGGCTGGTTGGAGAGATTATGATGAGCCAGTGTGGGGTAGACACCGGAAAGCAGCTGTGAGGACCATGTGGTTGGCAGCTACTGGGCTCAACACAGATGAGTTCAGAGAAAGAAAGGGTTCAAGTCCCAAGGAGACCTGCTGGTTCAGGACCTTCATCCGCTGGGCCAGTCCAGCCCCAGGGATGGAGTGACTGGTCTCTGCTTTCTCAAGCATCCAGAGTTCATCAGGTCTCTGGATGGGAAACTCCCATCTCTTTACAGATCACAAGGCTTAGCATTCCAATTGTGAAGCTGGGGTGAAGGAAGGCAGTGACCTCTCACCACTTCCTCCTCGTGTGGCAGAGGGGAGCCGAGTGGTACACTTCCTATTAGGCAGGCTGTGTACAGAAATGAAGAAGAACCGGTAAGACACAACCAGGGTAGATCCAAACACTGCCGGGTGGTCTTGCTAGAACACGGACCAATTGATTGGGTTAGCCTCATGGTGTGGGCCTGGCATCAAGATGGATCTCATGTGGGAGTGGGGGTCAGGCATAGAACTAGGTCTCTTTTCTAGGCCTTTTAATGTCCAAAAGTCACAGGTTATCAGTCAGCTCAGAGATAACCTTCAGGTGAAGAGATAGGCTGGAGGCAAGAAGGAGGAGGAGGAAGACAAACATGTGGATGTTTCTTGGTTTTGTGCCTCACCTGATGCTGGATTTAACACTTGAAGCCTGAGCCACCAAAGGAAATGCAAAAATGTAAATCACTTAGTATCCAGCAAGCTAAGAAGACTGGGAAATGTTATTGCGAAGCAAGCACTGGCTTCCATACCCAGCTGTGGAGATCGGGTCCACCTAGAAGGGCCCCCCACCAACCTACAGGCCTCTTTTCCCTGGCTCACATGCTCTTACTGGCCTCTTCAGTTCAGCCTGAGCCCCAGAGGGGGTGAGCCCTCCAAAGATGCACAGTGCCCAACTGCAGCACACCCATAGGATTCTGCCCTCCTTGCTTTTCTTTTCTTGCAAAAGATACCAGGAAGGACCCTGGACCCACCCTCATTGCTTCTTACCCTGCTCCAGTTACTTCCACAAAGACAGAAAGTGATGTGTAGATCTCACAACAGTAGGCAGTATTACTTGCTCCGCAGGTGTATGCATCCACATTCATGGAGTCCTAGGGAAGGAGGAGGGCTCTGCCCCTCTCACTCAAGGTTCTGGGACTCAGGATTACTGTTTGGTTTGATGCTTTCTGGAAAGCAATCAAGCACCCATCAGCTGCCATGCAGCTGGAGTCTATGCTATACTGTGGCATTTCTCTAATAGGCATCTTACTCTAGCTGCTGTCAATGGGCCAGAAAATAACACCATTAAAGATTGGAAGAAGAGAGGCTGGAGTAGAGCACTTGCCTAGCATGCACAAGACCCTGGGTTCAACTCCAGTCTTGAGTTGGAAAAAAAAAAAAAAGATTAGCAGAGGAGGGCATGGATGAAGCCCTGGATACCATCCCCAGCACCTCAAAAAAATAAATAAATAAATTTTTAAAAGGTTAGGCCATGCACATTGTGAAGGGAAGATCAAGGTTCAAGACCAGCCTGGATAAAAAGTGAGTGAGACCTCCCCTCCCTCCCCAATCTTAGTCAGTAAACGAGACATGGCAGTTCTTGCCAGTGATCCCAGCTATTCAAGAAACTGTGAGTAGTTGGATTGTGATCTGAGACCAGCCCCTGGCAAAAGTGTGATACCCTACTTGAAAAATAACTAAAGGAAAAAAAGGGTTGGGAGTGAGGTTCAAGTGAATTATAAGAGTGCTTGCCTAGCAAGTGTGAGGTCTTGAGTTCAAATCCAAGCACTGCCAAAGGAAAAAACTTTAACATAATTACATATTCATGAACATGTACAAGCAAAAATTTCATCTAGGTCAGTGGTTTTCAAACACTTTTAGTAGCGGAGCCTTTGTACAAGATTATAAGTTCAAGTTTAAAATCCAAAAGAATTATTCTAAAATATTTTGTTGTTGTTTTTTGTTTTTGCAGTACCAGGGCTTTAACTCAGGGCCTGCACCTTGAGCTACTTCAATATTTTTGAGATAAGGTCTTGCAAACTATTTGCTCCAGCTGGCTTTGAACCAGTATCCTTCTGATCTCTGGCTCCTGAGTAGCTAGGATTACAAGTGTGACCCACTGGTGTCTGGCTCTAAGATGTTTTATTGTTTGATTTTTGGCTTAAAAAAAAAAAGGGACACTTGAAATTATTGGTTACAGTGGAGAGCTGCAGGTGGTCGTAAGCCTCATCATCCATTTCACTCTTGGGGCACAATGGTGAGGACATCCTGATACATGTAGGTAGCTGCTATAAGTGGTAAGAGTTGTCTTCAGCAGTTCACCTACAAATCTCAGGGTATCTGCAATTTAAATGGTATAGAGAGGTTGGAAGCTTAAACATAGAACAGTAGCATTTTTTCCATAGTCACTAACAAATCTAACAGCAGTTCATATTCCTTAAAAAGAGTCAATCTCAGACAAGAAGCTCCTAAACACAAAGAGTAAATAAAAAAACAATCAATTATGTGATGACATCTGTGCTGTTTCACCTGAAGGACCATACTGACAGATGCTCTGAGGCTGGTATCTCCCTGAGGCACACTCCTCCATGATCTATGTGCACAGCCTGCACATAATTACTTACTTTCCTCTTATGACGAAGAAGCACATTGACAGGGAGCTCAGATACTTGCACACAGAGAACAGAAGAAACTTGGTCCTGAGGGTCCCCAAATTCATGCGTGATGGTCTTCAGTGGGTTAAAAGTTGACATATCAGGCACTTGCGCATGGGTGTCTTATTTAAGTTTTTAATTTAAAGTGTTTGTAAATTAGGTACGTGGGAGGCCCCTGAAATGCCTTTTAAAGAACTCTAGGGACTGGGTACAGTAGCTCAAAACTGTGATACTAGCTATTTGGGAGGCAGTCTAAGCAAAAAGTTTGAGAGACCCCATTTCAACCAGTGGCTGGGCAAGGTGGTACATGCCTGTCATCCCAGCTATGTGGGGAAACATAAATAGGTGGATCGTGGTCTAGACTGGCTCAGGCATAAAGCAAAACCCTATCTCAAAAATAACCAAGACACCAAAAAGGGGGACAGGTATAGGCTCAAGTGGTAGAGCATCTGCCTAGCAAGCACAAGGCCCTGAGTTCAACCTTCCAGTACCCTTTCAAAAAAGAATTCTAGAGTCCATAGAAGTTTGAAAACCACTGTTCTAGTCCATTTCCTGCCTATCGGCAAGGCTTCACACCTCCACCCAGAGGCAAGTCCGTTCTGTTTCTAGAGGCACACTTCAGGAACCCTGCTGGGATATTTTCCTGTGGTGCCTTTGGGAAATTCTTCGTATATACTGCTTCCTACTACAAGGACTTATTTCCAAATACATTATTTTCCTTTTCCTGCTTTAATACACCATTTTAAGGCTAATCTGATGTCAGTTCCCAGTGGCTTTGTTCCTGCCTGGCAGATACCATGTTTGAGACTCAGTCATTGGCCACTCCTTTCTCGGCTGCTTCTGCATTCCATTCCTTTCCTCTTGTAGTCTGAGCACCTGGCTCAGCCCTGAGGAAAGTAGTTTCAACTGAGCATGGACCATCATGATGTCTTCCACAACACTACTTAGCTCCTCTCTGAGGCTCTCAAGCCAGCCAGAACCTGCTTCCAATCTCACTTGATGGTGTCAAGCTTCCATTGGGGTCTGTGAGTCAGATGATTGGCCAAGCTGCCCTTCCAGAGACGTAACCTGATAGGACCTGCCGCTGGTTAATCTCTTTGTTAAAGGCTTCTGTGTGTCCAGCACACGCATGACCTTTAGAGCCTTTAAGCCGAGGGTGAGACCAAGACTTCCAAATTTCTGGTCCTGGGACACCTAAGAGCTTCTTTTGTTTTTTTTCTGGGACCCTAATTCAAACTTAGAATTTCTGGACAGGCCCCAAGCATGAGCTGGAAGCCACTGAAGGATTGCATTCCACTTTCTGATGTGTCCATTCGTGTAGGGGATGTCTTCATAGCTGCATCCAGATTGTGAGATTTGGAAAAAGTGACAGAACCAGCTGAGTTTTGGTGTGCTCTGTGTCCCCTTTATGACCTTGGGAGATAAGGACCACCCAATCAAGCCCAGCCCTCAGCCAGGTCTAGTTGCATCTCAGGCATGTGATGGACAGTACACCCTTTGCTGAACAGCCATAGGAACTAAAACGTTAGGCATGCCTGTGACCAGCAGACCTAAAGGAGTCTCAGGGCAAATAGTTCCAGGTAAGAACTCTGCAGAAGTCCTAGCTCATTTTCCTGGTTTTAAGGAGAAGGCTGGCTGAAGGTCGGAACCTGAACTTCAAGAAGTATAGGACCTCCATCTTAAGCCCATCCAGTAAAGTGGCTTCTGGAAGGAGTGTGCAGTAGTCACCAGTGGGGTCACACATATGAATTCTTGGGAGCTGTCTGACTACATTTAAACCTAATCTTAGGTCTTAGACCGGGGTTTCTAGTATTGAGTCTGAGTCCCAGCAGGGTTGGAGTTCCCAACAAAGCCAAAGCCCCCCACTCCCTCCCTGAGCTGAGGTATGAACAGGTAATCCAACTGATAATGGCTGTTGACTCTGTCCCCAGTGGTGTTTGGTTAACCCCTCTCACACCATGAGGTGCAGAGATGGCCTGTGTGTGTGCATGTGATGCACTTACAGACATGCATGCTTTCCAGCTGTCCCTCTGCCCTTTTGCTGTATCTCTGCGTGTTTCTTGTGCTTCACGTCATTGATGGCCTTGGGCACTGGGGGGACAGCAGGGTCATCTGATCGAATAACTCTGTCTTCACCAATTCCTTGTTGTAGACTATTGGGGAGAGTCTTATTACAGTGACCTCATCGACTTGCACCTGGGTGGTATGTATAGCAGCATCCATTGCTGGCACTAACCCTGCAACACTTCCCCTCCCTCCCCACTCCCAATCCCTGCTCACAAACAGCAAAGAGAAACCAACCTGATAACCAAATGGCAAAAGCACAAACCCTTTTCCAGGCTCAGTGGTAGAGAGAGCACTTGCCTAGCGTGCACAAGGCTCTGAGTTCAACCCCTAGCATCCCAAAAAGAAAAATTAAAAATGAAGCAGTATATCAGATGCTCTGCACTGCCAGAGGGAGATTTAAGATAGCTTTTGCTGCTCAGAGTTTTTCTCATTTTTCCTAGTAAAACTTTACCCCAGCCCATCAATGTTGCCTCTGAATCCTGATCTCTTTAATGTCGTTCGGCAGCAGTACATACAAACTTAACTCCAGTATGACTTTTGTCCTGAATCTCATCTCATCCCTCACAACTTGTACATATTACATCCACTAGGAAGTTCACTGCCAGCCACACTTCAGGAGCAAACATGGGGCTGGAGGTGTAGCTCACAGGTAGAGCACTTATTTAACATGCACAAGGCCCTGGTTCCATCCAAGCACCACCAAAAAAAAAAAAAAAAAAGGAAGAGAAGCAAACATGAAGGAGTTGGCTTCAGCCATTTTCATTAGGGTGTGCTCACATTTCCCCCAAAAAATCCTAATGTTATGATTTCTGCCCAGATTCACCAGACATAAGGCTAAGTTGGAGAGTGCCCATAATAATATCTCGCCCTCCTAGCCATGTCCTGGGACTCAGTTTTCAGCTCTCAACAAAGGCAGGAAAAGCTTAAGGCAGTGGTCCTCAAAGTGTGGTCCTGGATCAGCAACCCCACCACCACCTTCACTTGGAACTTGTAAGACATGCAGATTCTCAGGCCCATCCCAGACCTTCTGAATCAAACTCCCTAGGTGAGGCCTGGGCATCAGTGCTTTAATAGACCTTCCAGCTGATTCTGATGCCTTCTAAGCAGGAGAACCCTAACTGAAAGGAATTCAGTGTGTTTATTGTCTTGCTTTACAATGCTCACCACTAGTATTAGCTTAGAGAAATGGCCAGTCCATGAGTCTCCTTCCTAGACTTTGGGCAGTTTTGGGGCAGTTTGCCATGCAACATGGCAACAGGAGTACCCAGCACTCCTCAGGGTAAGCGGAGGCTCTGGCTGGTGCCTGCTAAGTGACAGAGGCATTCTGACCTCTTCATGTCCCCTTCAGGGCCATGTGTCTCCTGAAAACAGAAGAGCTGGTAAAGATAATGCTCTCATTTTTTCCCCAGCCCCATCATTTTGAGAGAGTCACTTCTTAGCTCATTCATTTAAAAACCAAAGCCAGGTCTGGAGTATAACTCAGTGGTAGAGCACTTGACAAGCATGTGTAAGGACTTGGGTTACATCCCTACAAAACAAAACAAAACGCCTAATTCTGACTCCTACTAGGAGAGTGCTGTATCCTTAGATACCCCCCATCAGCAGGTTGGAGCCCTTGGCTTGTTGGGTAGTTAGAGCTGATGGGGTCTCTGGCATTCCCAATCCCATGCTCCCAGGGATCCCACCTATCTATAGTTCCTGCTGTGTCCCAAGCTTCAGGAGTGCTGAGGCCCCCCACTTGTGGCCACTGATGCTGAAAAAGGGCTGATGCTTGCATCCAGTTAACAGACCCCATCCTTCCTAATACCCTGACTCTCCTTCCCACCTCCCAACACTGCCTAGGCAATGTTTGTGTTAGTTCATTCATCTCAGTGTGTAAGAAAATATTTTTACAGTCACAGCCTCAGGGAAGGAGCTGTCAAAGCCTACCTCTCAGCTCAAGGAGCTGGCTTTTGCTGTACGGACTGGCTCTTGTACACGTTGTCTATTTTCTTTACCTCACTGCTCAGATGAGAAAATGTGTAGTAGACTATTCTTGCTTCTGTAGCCCTGAACTCCAGATTGTAGTCTTTTGGATTTAGAATGCCATAAGATTCCCAGGGGTGGGGGGAATAAACAGAAGAAAAAAGCTGTGTTTCTTCTGACTTGTAAAATACCCCATCAGATACCGTTGTAACCACAGCTACTTGGTGCACATCACTGCCTCACTTCCCCTTTCTCAGCCCACTCTGATTTGTTGAACATGTTCAGGCTCTCCTTGTGGGTTCTGCTCACCATGGAGGCAGCAGCTGCTGCCCCACTAATGAAGCATGGAGGAAGTGTTCCTTCTGAAGGGAATCACTTTTGCACTCCAGGCAAAGAGGGAGGTTCACCAAGCCCCAGGAGTAAGACATGGGTGCCACAATTAAATCCCTGTTCATAGTCTGCTGATGCTTCTTTCTGGGGTAGGTAATAATATTCATTATTTAAGGGGGAAATTAACATTTTTGTAATCTGGAGCCCAAAAAGTGGAACCTGCTTGCTTCCATACTCCTGCCTCCTCAGAAGGCCACACAGAAACCCCATTTCTGAGCCACAGCACGGATCTTGTTTCTCATGCTGATGACATCGCCAGACAGCACTCAGAGTGTTAGTAATTACATGTCCCACCCAGAGGAGTCCAGATGCTGATCCCTACCCAGTGCTCTGCCTGTCCACTAAAGTGCCTCAGTGAGGTCTTTCAGTGACTTTCAGCTATTTAAAGGCTCCAAACCTGTGTTTAAAACCCCTCTTTTGGCCTGTATAGCTCAGTCGTAGAATGTGTATTGAGCATGCACGAAGCCCAACACCCCAAAAAAAAAAAGAAAAGAAATTGTCTTAGACTGGGGGCATGATTCAACGCCAGTACAGCAAAAAGAAGAAGAAAAAAAAAAGAAAAGAAAGGGTCTGTGCAAAGCCATAAAGTATAGCAAATTAAAATTTCACTTCCTCAAGTAGCTAGACCTTGTGATTTAAAAGAAGCCATTAAAAGAACATACAGTGACACTTGGACATGAGACAAAGGTTCCCAGGTGGCCACTGTTCTTCCTTCTCTTCCCCTGGATGCTGAACACCGTATTTTATTGCAGTAGGGGAGACAGATGACTAGAAATCTGTGGAGAAAAAACACATCTCTTCTGAAAAACTTAGATTAAGAATATACCCATCTAATTTCTAATTTCATGGGTTCTCACCTCTTGATTTGTGTATCTCAAAGGGAAATGAAAGGTTTAGAAATGTAACATACAAGACTAGGAACTGGTCTCTCCTTGCCATTGATTTGGGGTGGGAGGCACAAGGAGGCCTACCCCAGCCAGGCCTGCCCCTTTCCATCTTCTGAGTGGCTCTTCCTGTGCCATTTACTTCCCTTAGTTTGATGTTGGTAGATTTTTGCTTGTCTGCTCAGGCTGAACATTAGCCTGGTTCAGTTTTATTTTATTTATTTGTGTTTGAACTCACTCTACCATTTGAACCATGCCCGCAGCCTCTGGCTCTATTTTTGCTTAAAACTTTGAGACACTTGACATTTCCTAGCACATCTCTGGGGGTAGTGCATGGCACACACATTGTACGTGCATTGTATCTCAACTCTTACATGCATTTGGTGGGGGGGGGGAGCCTTCATCTCCCCCACAATGTAGAGAATCCTTCTGCAATGAGCTTTTATAGCACAAAGCATCTTCCACCCTGTCACATGTGTACAGACTGGGCCTGCTGAGCCCAGCAACTTCACCCTATTGCCATGCTGCCCACCCACTGCAGCATCACAAACCAGCCATCTGGATTCTTCACTGTCATTGCCTTGAGTTTTGAACTGGACCTCAGCCTTGGGACACAACGGCTCCCCCATGCCAGGAACAGAACATTGGTACTGCCCAAATTGGCTTCTTAGGCTGGAGAGTGAGAATAGTTGACAACAAAGATTTTACTCATTTTCTTTTGTGTCAGATTGTGTAACCTAAATAAGACAGAATTAAAAATGAATGAAACCCCATTCCCAAACTACCAAGAAATTCTCCTGGACTGCGAGGTGTGGCTCAGTGGTAGAGCACTAGCATATATGAGGCCCTGGGTTCTGTCCCCAGCTCCACAATAAAAGGAAGGGGGGAAGAGAGAGAGAGAAAAATTCTTCTAACCCTGCACATTTCGCATGTTGCTGTCTATGAGTTTGATCTGATAAACTGAGCATAGTGATTGATAACTGGCAATGGTGAGCAAAAACTCTATGGTATCTGTAACAGGAATTGCATAAAAAGGCATTGCATTGGCTTGGTCACTTAGCAGTAATATAGTGCATTGCTACAAATCAATTGAGAAGTGACAGCCCACCCCAAGGGCAGGTGAGGGCTGGCTGGGGACCATGTGTCAGGAAAGTGGAACTTTGAAATGCAACTGAGAAATAAGTGTGTCTCCTTCCTTTCCCTGATACCTTGGAAGGTGTTGTTCAAAGGCTGAAAGAAAGTCAAAACCCCAAAGTGTCTCTAGGTAAATGAAGGATTTTCTAGAAGTATGACTGAAAAGGGAATAATCTAACCCTGGGACTTCAAAGACTTGCATGTGGAACTAGCGGCAGCATATCAAGGGGAGATGTGTAGAGCCAATTCGTAGCTAATAAAATGGTGATGTTTATAGTACTTGAAAGTTGGTATTTTAAATTTTGTATTCCCACATGGAACTGCAGTTATTAACAGTAGCTCAGCTTATGAGAAGCCTATTTTCTTCATAAAGTCTCTCTGGATAGTACCAAGCCAGTGACACTCCAGGACCCAGCTGGTGTATTGTGAGGAAATACAGCATTCTAGACTGACATTTCTGGGGTCTAGATACCTCCCTCACAGGCCCTCCTCATAGTGTGTCAGGCACTGGCTGTAGAGAGCCTTTTGCCACTGAATGAGGAATGAGAGCCAAGAAGGTGGCAGAGATGGATACTGAGATGAGGCAGACCCCAGTTCCTGCTCAGCTCTGGACCAGCTTTGTGGTGTCCTCTTCCTTTTTGTCCAGGAATCTCTGAGTATGGCCCACCAACTTACTTTCCTGTGGTGTCTGCCCTCATCTTTTGCTTCTAGTCAGAAATTCTTTCCTGGGCTGGAAGTGTGTCCATCAGTAGAGCACCTGCCTAGGAAGTGTGACGCCCTGAATTCAAACCCCAGTACCACAAAAAAAAACTTTTCTTTCCTGCTTTGACTCAGAAAAAACAGGGCTGGAGTGCCAGGTGTGGTATTGCATTCCTGTAATCTTAGCACTTGGGAGGGTGACCAGAACAGTGCCTGATATGTCGGAGGTACTTGGTAAACATTTCTTACATAAATTATTAGTCTTTCTTGCCCTTAGAATAAATCCATGATCCCTATAAGGTATTTCTAATTGTTTCTGATATTGGCACCAATGTAGTAGTCAGGCAGAATTGAGTTACTAAGTTGGAAATGCAGAGCCTCAAACCAGACCCCCATCACAGCATATGTTGTCCCTGGGGATCTCTGGGCTGTAAGTAGAGCTAGGCCTTGGTCTTAGCCCCTGCACATTTCATTTTCAAATCCTCACTTCTTATAAGGAAGACACTAAACCCTTGTCTGCCTCTCAGCCTCTGGGTTAGGGCCCTGGGGATTTTGAAAATTAAAGACTGATGTGTGTTTTAAGTTTCAGATGAGCACCCAAGCTCAGTGTCTTGAGAGTTTGT